CAGGAAGTGTCCAGAGGGGTGGCAGCTCTGACTCTGGCCCACTGGTGCCTGGGACTTCGACGACGATATTGGGGGCCACTCGCTCCCAGGTCTTTGCCCTGTCGGGTGCCACTCCCCAAAGACAGCCGCAGGGCTGCCAGCCCCGATGAGGCTCCCATCAGGGCTGCAGCCTGGGCCGCTGCCAGGCAGCCACTGAGGAGCAGGGAAGACCTAGGAGCAGTCACCCAGGCCACCGCCGGGGTGGGTGAGGAGAAGCCAGGACAGCCGTCGCTCAGATCACCTCCCTCTGGCTGGCAGAGGGACAGGAGAAGTGTCAGGCCTGGCTTCCATCTCAGATAGAGGCTATGGTGACCACAGGCTGGGCCCCTTTCTTCTTGCTCTGGCCCCTGGTCCCAACTGCGGAATACGGATCACCTAAGTACCGACCTCACGGCAGATCCCAAATACATTACATGATTTCCTGCATGAAAGTATTCACTGCTGCAGTGTGCACACAGGGCCACATCCATTTCACAAAGAAACCACCTCCACAGAGGGGTAGCACCTTCGCCCAAAGCAGTAGCAGAACCTCGGGCACAAAGGCTTTATCTGCTAGAGACCATGTTAAGCAAGGAGGACTTCTCCTGGAGCTGCCTTGCAAAACCAGACCTGAGACTGTGACAAACCAGACCCAGCTGGGCTCACTGGCCAGGGAAAGCAGGTCTTGTCCAGTCAGCAGTTCTGTTCAGAGGATGCTTTCACCCCAGACCTCCCACAGGGCCTGCCTCAGACAGACCCAGTGAGAAGACCCTGCCAGGCACTCCAAGGGGGTCTGTCCACAAGGGTTGGTGTCTCAGATAACAGAGCAGGGAAGGAAGGGTGGAGAATGGATGGGAGGGAAAACAGACATTAACCAACACTGAGAAAACAAACTTGAGGGCTGTGAGCCAAGTTAACAAGGGGCATTAAGGTGAGAACCCCACCCTTATCCCTCTCGGCCTCTGACAGATGATGCACCGCCCCTGCTAAGATGATAACACCAATGGCCAACCCAGGGGCCAGGTCAGGGAGTGTGGGCGGGTGGGTGCACAGGGAGGAGGGTGAGGGTGGGCGGCAGTCCTGGCAGAGGAGGCAGAGGACGGGATGAAGGTGGCTCTGAAGTCACAGCCCAGCCTCCCCTGGGCACCAGGCAAGCCCTGCTGCCACTTCTGGTCTGCCCTGTCCCCTCCCTGGCTGAGCCCTCGAGAGCAGGGGCAGCTCCTGGTCCCACAGGAGGGTTAGCAGGGCATCCCTGAGGGACGGGTCCTAGACACACGCCAAGAGGGCCTTGCTGGGCAGCCCCAGCCACAACCACCACTGTCCCCCAAGACCAGGAAGGAACGCCTTGGAGTCCCATGAGTTTACTCACCAAGCAGAGGGGTTCAGGGATGATCAGTCAATAGTCAGCTAACCACTGTGCTGAGGCATGATTGGTCAGCTAAAGGGTTACCTACATCACCGTGCACACCCTGATCACTCTGGAGATCTGTACACAGGGTGAAACTGTCACCACAACCTGCATCACAAAAATTAACTTTAATAAAAGCAAAATCCTGAGATGCTCTAAACTTATTATGAAGAGCAGAAGTAGAGGAAAGAAAAAATAGAGAAATGAATGAGTTAAAAGCTAAGTCCAGCCAGGCATGGTGGCAAACGTCTGTAATCCCAGCACTTGGGAGGCTGAGGCAGGAGGATCTGGGAGAGTTCCAGGCCACCTTAGGCTACACAATGAGAATCTGTCTCAAACCAATCAAAGAAACAAAAAAGAGAATCTAAGGCCAAAACCAACAAAACACTGTTTCAAGGCTTTTCAAAAGGAGATTATTCAACAGACACTCCTGAGTATGCGTTGAAACCTTGACTTACAAGCCCTGAAGGTTTAATCACACTGTCCACCCTCTCCTGCTGCAGTGTGAACTCTCCCATGACCCTTGGTCATCAGGGCATGGGCAGCTCTCCTGGCCTGTCCTCTCCTCCCAAGGCTCCCACTTCCCATCCCCCCACAGCCAGCAGGATCCATGGGAACAATTTACCCTTCCCTCCCCTCAACTCTCCCCATAGCAGAGCCGGCCCAAAGGCCGCTCTCTAACTGCTCTCTACCCCACTGCAGTATTGCTAACTCACCCCAGACCTGCTGCCTTGCTGGCTGGCAGGAGCAAGGGCTCCCTAACCCTTCACCCCAGAGGACTCTGGGTCTGAGGTGTTGTAATTCACTGCTTCTCACCCCTGTGGTGTGTGCACGTGTGTATGTGTGTGTAAATTTCGCTATCAGATCTGCCCTTTGGGCCCATGTTCATGGACACAGTGCAAGAGAGCTGCCCATCCCCTGATGACCGCCGGAGTGATCGGCGCCCACAGTGCAGGGGGAGGGGCGGAGGCTGAGGGTAAACCCACACGATTTTAAGGCAAGGTTTCCACACGCATTCAGGAGCGTATTGAAAGTCATTCCTTGAAATGCTGTGGGACCATCTTGTGTTGGTTTGGGCCTCAGCTTTCCTTGCCTGTTCAGTGTGTTTTCAGACGGGATCTCACTGTGTAGCTCACGCTGGTCTTGAGCTCACTGTGCCCCCAGGCTGGGCTAGAACCTGTGGTGAGGCTCCTGCCTCAGAGGATACATACTAAATGCTCTACAACAGAGAGAGGGGTGTTTTTCTTTGTTTTCTGTGGTTTTGGTAGTTGTTGTGTATTTTTCCTTTTTGTTTTGTACCAGGGATGTAATGCAGGACCTCACGCCTGCTGGGCAGGTGCTTCCGATGCGGGACTAAATTCCCAGCCACAGAGGCAGATATTTTAAAAGAACTTTTCATGTAAAAGTGTAACAGGGAATAAATGGGAAAGGAACACAGAAATGGAGAGTTTTCAAGGTGTCTTCTCTGCCCCCGACCGTGTTGCTTTGAAAGCCAGCGGCCACTGGCACGGCTGCCCAGCATGCACTGCCCAAACCTACCTGGCTCATGGGCCACACCCTGCCTTCTCTGATGGCTCACTGCAGCCCCCTAGTGTCCTGGGCCCCAGTGAGGTCCAGCTTTGGCAGTCACAGACTTCTAAACCAAAGCACAAACTTACAGGCAGAAGTGTTGACAGGCAGTAGAAGAGTGGGGGATGATCTCATCTGGAGAAAGAGGTGCAGGGGAAGGTGAGGCTGCTGGAGGGCAGCATTCGGGGTGCTCCCTGTCTCTGTCCTGGTTCTGCAGCTCCGGGGAAGTCCTGTGGCTGGAGGAGCAGCCAGGCTCCCACACAGTGTTGGCTTTGCAAAGGCTCTGCGGGAAGCTGGGCAGCTGCAGGGGTCTGAAGGTGGCACCCAGAAGGCTGGGGGCCGAGAGACCCCCAGCTCTCCTAAGTTGGTGTCTTCTGACTTGAAGGGGATGAGAGAGCCCAGGTGGTTTAGGGCTGATGAACCACATGGCATAGACCTGCCTGCACACAGAGCTCAGCAGGGATCTGAACCCCGCTCTCCAGAGCCTGAGGCAGGAGGATGAGCTGAGCCTGAGGCCAGCCATGGAACTCAGGCAGAGATGGCAGAAGCTTTGACCGTTTCTAGTTCCCCACTGGGCGTCAGGAGGCCCAAGTGAACAGCTGCTGTGCTTTTTCTTGTTTTATTTTTATTTTGTTTTGTCTTTTAGCAAAAGCAGTTTAAATCCCTCACTGCCTTTTCAGAAGGAAACAAAACTCGTGCTGTTAGCAGTCATAGGTTGGGGCCCAGGCGCCTGTTTATCCTCTGTCCCTCTGTGGTGACCCCAACCGTTTTGTTTTCTCATCTACTTTACTCCTGGAGAGGTCGTGGCAAAGGTGTCCTTGCTGCGATGATGGCCTGGTGGTCAGTTACATGGCCCGGGAGGGTGAGCAGGTAGGAAGGATGCGTCCCGTGCTTTCAGTGAAGCCAGGACAGCACCCGTGCCCGGTCCTCGAGGTAAGCTCCGTCCACTCCAGGTGCTTCCTGAGTGCCTGGCTGCAGACCCGGAGCCCCTGGCCCTGTAAGTGACCCCTGCTGGAGGCCTCACCCTGCCTCCAGTGCTCCCCCAGGACACTCCTCCCTGCTCCTGCCAGCGCAGTCTCACAGGCTGCCCCAGAAGTTAGCTCCTGTGGGCGGGAAATGGCCCCAGTTTCCCTTTGCACACCTCGCCTTCCAGGGCTCCCCTGCTGGTCGGGTCTGCCCCATCATTCCCACCCAGCTCACAGCTTTCAGCATCAGAGAAGGAACCCAGAGAGGCACTGGAAACATCCTGGGTCCAAGCCACCCAAGAAACTGCCAGATGTGACCCCAAAACTGTGCCTGAGACCCTCCCCAGAGAGACCCTTGCTGGCCTCAGGCCTCCCTTTACTGGGCCCTCAGGAACACTCCTGTCCTACCCTGGTGTTCTACCCAGCATCCAAGCTGAGATCAAAATGTTACAGAAGCTGAGTGAGTTAGAAATGTTATAGGCAGTCACACAGGGCTGGGCCCTCAAAGGAGCAAGAGCAGAAGTTCAGATACCCTGCAGCCTTGGAAGAGACAATCACCTGCTGTGGGTCAGATTGCAAGACAAAAGGCAAAGCAAACAGAACCACACCCTCAGGCTCCACAGTCCAAGTAGTTCTCCATCACCCTGAGGAAGTCAGGAGACATCATCACACCCCCTACAGGACAGTCACTGCTGCTAAGCTTGGGTGCTTACTGCATGACTGGCTCCCCCATTGGCTCCTAATTTAATCAATTTTACCTGAGCAATTAATCTTATTGGTTGGCCACAGTTCTGTCCCATCTTCTGCTCACTTTGCAAATTTCCATTTTTCCCTACCTTTGACACATTTAACCTCATGATTTTACTCTATAAAAATCCTTAGAAAAGACAGAGTCCCTGGCAACCCACTCGGACCCCTTCTGTCTCTCTCAGACAGAAGCTTTCTTTCTCTCAATAAATGTATTCCACTCTTAACCTCCATTGTTCCTAAAATTCATTCTTCGATTTTGGAGAACACGAACTCATACCAGACACAGTAGGTTGGGAGTTTCATTCCCCGGTATCAAAAATTTACAGTGAATGTTTACTAGGATTTTTTTCCCAAAAAACAATTATACAAAAAGACACTTTGCTATCAAGCGCCTTCAAAGTGCTCCCCTGGCTTCACACACACTTAGTCCATTGCTGCGCTTGGGTGAGGATACTTGGCACTGTCCACGCCCCTCCTGGTCACAGGAGCATCTTTGTCTCCCCCTCAGGCTCTCGGGCAGGATGATGGTGTCAGAAACCCACGTGGAGTTGTGTCAGTCAATTACCAAACATCATGCCAACTGTCGATGTATCTGACTGACGGCAGCGGTGATGCCTAGGAGCAAAAGGGGGCACAGGAGGGAAGAGAAATTCAAGAGGTTCAATTTACAGACACAGGAGATGGTACACGGAGAGACGGATTCCACCCACACAGAAACCCCACCAGGGAAGGGCCCGCTGCTCCCGCGGCCGGGCAAGGGGCACCTTTGCGCCCAGCTGCAGCCCCGTCCTCTTGGTGTCTGCCAGTCAGGGCACCTCTGTTTAACCCAGACAAGGAACTGAGCTGTGTGAGACTGCCAAGCAGCCCAGCCCTGCACCCTGGAGCTCCAACCTGCGCCTGTGTCTGCCTGCAGCAGGACTCTCAGTGCGCCCGGGGAGTGTCCCTCCTCCTTGCCACCACTCCACCAGGCAGGGTGGTGTCGCCCCCAGACAACCAGAACGCCTCCCACACGACCATCCTGGGAGCTCTACAAGCTGTAAGGTCCACTGGCAACTGTCCAAGGCCAGAATGAAACAGCCCGGCTTCCCAAGGCACTCACAAGACCCGGATTATGGGACAGAGCCCCAGTATGTGTGGAGAGCTGGCCTGACGCCAACGCCCCACGGACTGCACCAATGGCCAGGGTCCACCAGGGCCCTTGGGAAAGCGCCCTGCAGCACTGAAGTGGGTGCAGCCCAGCAACTGCCTTCAGTGGTTTGCAAAAGAATAGATTTACACAGGACTCAAAGGTGTAGGATTACTTTATAACATTCACACAAAACTCAAATGCAGAAGAGTACAAGAGATTTGTCCACATGCAGGAGACCCAAAGAATCCAGCTGAGGGCCCAGATCGTATGGCAGTGTCTCCCATGAACCCAGCCAAAGGCCAGAGCCCACGGCAAGAGCTCATGAAAGTCCATTATCAAGGATCTGCCCCAGGAAGGCCCAAAAGCTGGTGGTAAAAGCCAAGGGCATCTAAGTACTGGCCAGGGGTCTCCTCCTGATCCCTGAGTAAGGATCCATGTTGTTACCCAGAACCCTGAAGAAAGTGAGAGGAAGCTTTGAGAGGTCCCAGGAGATAACTTTCCTAGTACAGCCCAGGAAGGGCCACCCTGGAGGCAGGACCATGAGCAACACACCTGAGACGTCGCCAGGGGTCAGTGTGATGGAGCTCCAGAGAGAAAAGTGAAGGGGGAAGGGCAGCCATTCTCAGCCATCCACAGCATTTCCCAGCATGCAGATTTCTGGCCTCCCGTCCCAGGGTTTCTTGCCCAGCCAGGACGAGACTGGCCTCAGGGGCTGCATTTTAGCAGAGGCTCCCAAGTGGAGTCCAGGCTTCTGGTCTGCAGCCCACGCCTTGAGGATGGCTGCTCACACAGAGCTTCTGCACCCAGTGCAGACTCCTGTTTAGCTGCTCAAGGTGGGATTGGTGGGTTCAGAGCACAAAGATCCCCACAGCTCCCTGGGAACTGTCCCAGGAAGGCAAGTAGCAGAATTGCTACAATTTTACTCTAAGAAAGTCTGTTTTTAACATACAAATGACATTATCCATGGGTATCACTCTACTGGACCGCTGTATCTTTAATACCATGAGAAGTTTTAAGCATGCACAAAAGCACGATCACTAACAGTGTCCTGCAGCCCACTGCACCCTCGGCCCCAGCACCTACTTCTCCCCTCTCCCTGTCTCACTAGGTTACCTGGATGCGCATCTCCGACTCCGATCATTTCTTCTGTGAACAGATCTGCTTACCAGGTGTGCATTCCTTAAGAGAGAGCTCAGGATGAGGGCTGAGCTCTAGGGTGTCCCCCCAAACGTGTCAGGTGTGTGGCAGGCACGGGACCAAATGGCACAGTGTTGTCAGTGTTTATCCACCAGGGAGCAGTGTGGCGCTGGGAGGTGGGGCCTGGTCCACAGAGGGGGTGAGCAGAATCGGTGAATCTCTCCCTGGCTCCTCTCTCTCTCCTTCCTGACTTCCAGGATGAGGGCAGCTGTCCCCCAGCCAGCCCCTCCACCGCACACTTAATGCCTTGGAGCCCCCAACCGAGGACTGAGAATGTGATCCAGAATAACACCCTCTGCCGATAAGCTGTCAGTGAGAGTGTCCCAGTGACAAGAAAGTGACTCAAACATCAAGATTATTATTCTAATACTATTCATCTCACTATTATTTCAAGCTAAAACTCAGAAGGAGGGAAGCAAGGAGAATGCAGCAGAGCCCCGGGCTGGACCTGGGGAGAGGACACCTCTCTCACTCTTGGGTGGGTCCCACTGCTCAGACCTAGACATTTTGTTTTCTTTTCCCAGTACTGAGGATCACACTCAGAGCCTCATGCTTGCTGGGCAAGTGCTGTCCCCCAATGAATGCTGAAAGCTGGCCAGGACCAAAGAATCCAAGAAGAAGGGGGCCAGGGCTGGGCAACCCCTGACCTGTTACTGTTCCACACTGGGGGACCAGGTAGGGGAGGCACCATCTCCCAGTCTCACTGTCAGCACACTCTGTGGCTCAGACCCCAAACAAGGACGTCCACACAGGAAAGCGGCCCAGGGAAGTTAACACACCGGTCGAAGCTATGCTTGTGTGTCAACAGATCCTGGAACAGAGGCTTTACCCAGGTAGGTAATCAGCCAGGTGAGCTGTGAGCAGACACAGGCAGCCCAGTTAGCCCAGTGTCTTAGGTACATTTTACTCATTGCTGAGACAAAATACCTGAAGCTCAAAGTTGGGAAAGGAAAGGTTTATTTCCTATAGTTTTGAAAGGTTTCAGTCCACACTCAGGTGGCTCCAAGGCAGGGTAACACGGTGGGCCCGCAGCTCATGGCAGCTGCAAACAGCAAAGCAGAAACCAGCAAGAGAGCCAGACATACTTCTTCCTGCCATTACATTACATCCTGGCTCCACCCCTAGGCCAGTGTAGCACTCACACCATCAATCCAAGCACTAGACAATGAACCAATAACAAATGCATTAATGCAAATGCATGAGGCCTGGAAGCCACCAACATAAACCATGACATTCCATCCCTGGCCCCTAGGACTCATGTACATCCTTTATACAAAAAACCTGTAGCCCATCTCCAAGAGTTGCTAAAGTCCGAACAGTTTCAGCATTGCTGAAAAGTCCAAGTCCCAAGTCTCCAAGATCTATAGTAAAATGCTAACTGTAACCTCCTGTACAAATGAAACAAGGTTAAACATTTCTGACATGCCAAGGCACAAGATAAACATTATCATTCCAAAAGTTACAAACAGGGAATATAAAGCATTGGAAACAAAGCAAGCCCAACAGCCAGCAGGACAAACATTAAGTCCTAGAGAGTTCCATGCTCAGCATCTGAAACAATCTAGTTGCAAGCTCCAAAAGGCTTGGGTGATTCTACCCTATGGCACCTCCAGGGATATCAGCTCCCGCAGCTCCTCCCTTAAACCCTCTCTGCTTACTTCTTGCAGCTTTCCTTGGATGATTCACGTTCCTAGCTTTTCTAAACTTTTGCGGTCTCCCTTGCACCTTTGGCCTAACCCTTTCATCTTTACAAACTGCCCTCTCAGGGGCACACTGCTTGGCCTCCCAGGCCCTTTGCAATCGAGGTGGAAGCCCTCTTACCCTCAGAATTTGTGCATTTTCCTTGCATCTAAAATCAGCACGATGTGAATGCCACCCAGGTTTGCTGCCATCTGTAGCAGCAGCCAGGCTTTTCTCTCTCTTGGCTGTAGGGGTCAATTGCCTGGATCATTGGGCTCTGTGAACCAGATGGTGAAAAAAAGCTTCTCTATGCTGCCATCATTCTGGAATCTCATGTGGCTTCCATCGACATTCTGGATCCTGGTACACTGCAGCTTTCTCCTCTGAGCAAATTCTTTCATTTTTGCAATTTTGAGGCTGCAAAGGGTGGGGACCCACTGTTTCCTGAGAAGTCCTGGTGCCATCTTTCTTATCTCTCTGTTTCTTCTTCCCAATCAAAGTCTCACTTTGAATTTTACAATCCACAGCTTTACTGGAGTTTTCTTTCTGGCCAAACTCACAGTATTGTAAATGATTTTGCTGGGCTCTTTGCTCTTGATTTGCAACATAAAGCTGGCTAAAAGCCCCCAACAATAGCCATGCCACAGCCGCAACATTTGACTGCCTTGAAATTTCCTTTTCCAGATTAATCAGTCCATTGCCCTTTGTCTCAGTCACAGGCAAAGTCTCCAGGCATGAGCAATATGCAGACAAACTTTCTGACAAGCCTTAACATACATCGTGGGGAGTCCAACAACCAATGCAGTCCTTCTTCCCAGCAGAAACCTCACAAGCCTGGTCTTTACCATGAGGCTTTCTATCAGCCTTCTGGTCTCCTGAGCTCTGACCAGAATCTCCTCTACAGAACAGCCTAAGCTGCCTCAGCTCTAGACATCCAGGCAATATGTCTGAACCTTTCCAAACTGTGCCCACAAGCCATTTCCAAAGCCTCTGGAAAAACATGGTCAGGTATAGTCACAGCAACGACCCCACTCCTCGGTACCAAATTCTGTCTTACTTACTTTTTACTTGTTTCTGGGACAAAATACCTGAAGCCCAAAGTTGGGAAAGGAAAGTTATATTCCTTATAGATTTTGGAGGTTTCAGTCCATACTCAGTTGGCTCCAAGGCAGGCTGGCATGGCAGGGCCGCAGCTCATGGCAGCTGCAAACTGCAAGGTAGAATCCCGAAAGAGAGCCAGACACACTTTCTTCCTGCCATTACATCACATCCTTGCTGCACCCCTAGGCCAGTGTAGCACTCACACCCCCAATCCAAGTGCTAGACAATGAACCAGTCACAAATGCATAATGCAAATGCATGAGGCCTGGGGCCACAAAATAAACCATGACACCCAGAAAACAGAACACTGGGTTCCACAAACACTTCCCTTACTGTTCTATATAGATTTTCTCTTTAGCATGATAGTATCCAGCTTTGCATCTCAGTACCTTTGCCTGAGGGATACAAGAAGCAATCTTTATGCTTACATACTTGGTACAAGAAAGGTAAGAGGTGTGCATGAGTGTAAAATTCTCAAACTGTCCTAGACAAATATAGTAATGCACGA